GCCCTCCGTTTCAGGCTGAAAAGACTCAGGGCCTGGAGGGGCCTGTTTTAGGCTGAAACGACACAGGGCCTGTAGGCCCTTGTTTTCAGGCTTTCAAGCTGAAACGGCACAGAGCCTGTAGGCCCTTGTTTTCAGGCTTTTAGGCTGAAAACGACACAGGGCCTGTAGGCCCTTGTTTTCAGGCTTTTAGGCTGAAAACAACACAGGGCCTGAAAATGGCCCTCGTTTCAGGCGCAGCATGTTGCAGGCGCAGCATGTAACAAATGACCCACTGATACCTTTCTCGGCCTGTTGGCTAAAGACCAAATCCAGTGCACTGTATCTGTTCTGTGGTCCATCGGGCCACATTAAAAAAGAAAAAAAGAAAAAAAGACCACCTGGCCTACCGTCTTCACTCGAGTAGAACGCCCGATCATTATCACTGCATCTAGACTTCAATTTCGACCAAATACAGCTATATTGACCGGGCGTTCTATTCGGGTGAAGACAGTAGCTCAGTCGGTAAACCCATGAACTGTTGAAATGCACGCCAGAGTTCGAATCCAGACGCAACCAATGAACAGAATAAGATTAGGAAAAAAAAAACTCGTCAAATATGCAACGTTAGCATGAAGCAGGCAAGCCCGTGTGGATCAGCAGCTAAGGCCAATAGGACCCGCTTAAAAAGAAAAGGGAAAAAGGCCAATAGGACCCGCTTAAAAAGAAAAAGGAAAAGGAAAAAAAAAAAGGCCCATGGCGGAGCAAGCTGCCATGGATGTAAGTGACGAGGAAGAACAGGTGCATCCTCCAGTGATAAACGGCTGTGGAGACCACGCCATACGAACGACTAGACCATTCCGTATAGTGCAATGAACCTGAACCAGAACCTGGACCTCAAGCTGAAACAGAATCAAGACTTGAAAGTGAACCTAGAACGGTACATCATGAAAACCAAGGGTAAATTAAGTGCGCCCCACCGGCATGATAACAAGGTTCATTGATGCCTCTCTCTCTCTCTCTCTCTCTCTCTCTCTCTCTCTCTCTCTCTCTCTCTCTCTCTCTGTGCGTGCGTGTGTGTGCCCCCTTCCTGAAACCGCCAACCATGAAAAAAACAAGGTAAATTGAGTAGCCCTATCCCAGAGTCATGACACGCTTCATTGCTCTCTCTCTCTCTCTCTCTCTCTCTCTCTCTCTCTCTCTCTCTCTCTCTCTCTCTCTCTCTCTGTGTGTGTGTGTGTGTGTGTGTGTGTGTTTGTGGCTTGGTGATCGGTCACCAGGCCGACGTTGACGCTAAAACTTCCCCATCGCCAGAGGGTGCACCGCTTTCTCCTCTGCAACACAATCAAAATCACCTTCGCCGTCGCCACGATCTTTCTTTTTCCCTTTCTTTTCTTTTGTTCTTTCTTTCTGATTCGCCGTCGTCCCCATAACTTCACTTTCGCTGTTCCCACAGGTTTGTCAAAAGGCTCATTTTTCACAAGGCTCACTTTTCAGAAGGCTCGTATTTTTTAGACACTCTCTCTCTCTCTACTTTCGAAAAGCATTTTGACCGCTTCTAAACGTTTCCCGATCTCGGAAGTGCGTGCGCCTGCGCACACTGTCTTCCACAGATGCACGACCGGCAGCACTGCCACCATCGCCATCGCCATCGCCGCCTTTGCCAGCACCATAGATTGCAACTCCGGCTTCGTCAAGAAATGTGCGCCCGTCTTTTCGACTGGCAATTGCCAAGTCCCGCCGGCGCTCTCTCTCATCCATCTCCGACGCTTTCGTTAATCTCCGCCATCGCTCTTTCTCAAGGAGCTCGGCGTCTGCTTCCATCTCTGCTAACCTTCGCTTCTTTTCTTCCTCCGTCAATTTCCCTGTCGTTTGACTCTTGGGAGGAGGTCTCCATCCAGGCGCAGGTCGAGGTCTTGTGTCAGGACCAGGTCCAGTATCAGGTCTACCCCGCGGTCCAGGTTCCGATCCCACATCACGGTTTTCACCATGTTTGAATGATCTCCTCCGCTGTTCCTGATCCTCACTCCATCTTCGCCTCTGAGGCGATCTTCTTCTTGATATACCACCCCCCTCCCCCTCCTTCTCCTCCTCCTCCTTTTCTCCTCCTCCTGTCCTCTCCTCTCGGATACTACGAGCTCCTTCCCTCACCCCCTCTCTCACTCCCTGCCCCCCTTCTTCTCTCATAGCCCTAGTAGATTCCCGCCATCCCATAGCTGTGTGCCCTCCGTCCTTCTCTTCCCTCCTCCTCTCGCACAATCTACGTTCTCCTCGCTCCCCGTTAAGATCATAGTGCTCGTCAGCATCATCATCGAAGGAAGAGGAGGAAGACGAAGAGTCTGAGGAGGAAGAAGAAGACGATGACGTTGTGCCGAGCATAGCCCTATCTTCTTCTTCTTCGTGTGCGTTAGTCCTTCCCCCTTTCCCGTGTTTCGATACGTTCCGCGCCCTTTCCTCCTTGTCCACGTGCTCATCTGTCTCCCACCTCCTCCTCTTGTCTTTCTCTCCCTCCATCCCGCTTCCGCGATTCCTCTTTTTCCTCTCCTCCTCTTCATCATCCTCCCCCCCCTCTCTCTCCCTCCTCCTCCTCTCCCTTTCAACATCCATACCCGCTCCCTCTTCTCTCCGCGGCCATTTCCTCTCTTCGCATTCTTCCCGTTCCCCCTCCCTTCTCCTCCCTCCCCTCCGATGGTGCCCATCATCATTGACGACACTCCCTCCTCTCTCTCCTAAAGATAACCCACCTCTCCCAGTCCAAGCATTCTTCTCCTCCTTTTCCCTGCCATTGACATCACCCCGCGCCTTTTTCCGATTGTCTTCTTCCGCAGCCCTTGACGACCTCGCACGACCACCCTCTTCCTCCTCCTCCTCCCTCCTCCTCAGTCTCCTACTCCCCTTATCTACCCCATCATAGACGGAGTCATAACCCCTTCCGTCATTCCGGCGTCTGCCGACATCAGCCGCCGGGATCCCATCAGATCTACCACTAGGTCGCCACCCTTCTCTGCGTGCTTCGTTCCCTCTCTCCTCCCTCCTTCCCTCGTGACGGTCTTCCTCCACATCCGCTTCTTCTTCACGATTACTCCGCCCGCAGACCGCCGCCATAGCTCCCGTCGGCTCCATAGCTCGACGGCTATGGTGATCGCCTTCTTCTTCTTCTTCTTCTCTTCTCCGATGATGCCGATGTCCACGATTGTACTCTCCCCGTTCATCTTCATCGCCCTCCTTCTCCTTCTTTCTTCTCTCCTCTTCCTCCCTCCTCCTCCTCTTCTTCTTCTTCTTCTTCTCCCTCTCCTTCTCATCCTCCTCCTCTCTTTTCTTCCTCCTCTTCTTCTTCTCCTTCTCCTTCTTCTCCTTGTCGCTATTTCCACTCTTCTTTGTCAACTCCATAGTCTCCTTCTCTCTCTCCTTCTCTCTCTCCTTTCTCCTCTCCACTTCCTCCTTGATTGCCGCCATCTTCACGACGTTCTTTCGAATGCGGTCGAGAGCGGCCTGCTCCTGAGCGCGGATTTGAGAGAGCGGATCAGAGTGCTTCTTCCTCCATTCATCGTTCGCCGATTTCGCCGCCTCCTTCTTGCTGGTATCAGTTACGAAGAGAGAGCCTGGCAACGAGGAGAGCTGGGCGAGAGGCGCCTCCTTTTTCCCCTCCTCTAGGGGTTTTCCCAGCAAGTACTCTTCGGCCGAAGGCTTGCCGCTCGTCAAGCCTGATTCATACAAGAAATCCACTCGTTCAGCCTTGGTCGGGATAAGTCCAGCCTGAACCTGAAGTAGCTGGAATTCCTCAACCTCCCGTTCTTCCTTGTATCGCTTCCTAATCTCCTCCACCTTCTTCTCCTCCTCTATCTGCTTTTGCTCCGCCTTCCATACCGTCTCTATATTCCTCAAGCTTCCCGTGTGCCATCCCTTCTTATTCAGAAACTTCAACGCCATGGCCGCCGCCGCCGCCGCTCCTCGTTCCCCCTTCCCCCCCCCCCGCCCAAGCCAGGCACTTGAGTTAGGGCAAACTCACACCAGAAACTGTGTTTAGTCAGAGTTGTATTAGGAGTATGCCTTTTTTCCGTTTCTCTGTTCGCTTCTCTGTGCTCTCTCGGCACTAACAAATCTCCTCCACTACGCTCCGCTGCTTCGCTAGCAATTAATCAGTCAATCAGTCAATCAATCAATCAATCAATCAATTAATCCGTCAATCAATTAATCAATCAGTTAGTCAATCGATCAATCGATCAGAGAATCCATCCATCAAGCAGTCAATCAATCAGTCACTCAATCAATCAATCAATCGCTCAATCAATCAGTCAATCAATCAATTGATTCAAGTACAGTAATCCATTTAGCAGTAACGGAAAATCGTGACGACATGACACTCCTCTGCAACTCCTTGCAACCTGCCGATACTCCTCTCTCACTCTCCACATGCGCCGATTTCGAGTGCTCGTTCGCTATTGGTCAGCCAATCCATCAATCAATGCATTTATCAGCCCACGCAATCAATGGACAAGTCCGCTACCGAACGTGAATCCAGAAACCCATCCCTCATCTGACTCGACGTTTCCAGAATACCACGACAGTTGCAAGATGGCTAACCGCAAAAAATATGAAGATAGACCCACGTGGCTGTCGCCGTCGCGACCAGAGACTTTTTCATTTCGCTAGCACCTGAACTTGGCCGGGCTCGACGCTGGACCCGCAGAGGGGTGTCGGGCTCTGCCGGGGCTACCGGTAGGTCCCACTTGCACGAAGTAAGAGATACTGACCGTAGATAGAAAAGATCAACGGCCGAAATCTCCTGATTTGCGCAAGTGCGACCTTGCGCCCGAACTCGAAGGCGTTTCTCGATTTTTTATGCGTGTCATCCTTCCCTGGGGGCAATTTGCTAATTACCCTTCTCTGTATCGTTTCCAATTTTAACGGATGTCCCGAAGGACCAAGGGCGCGTTCACACGTATACGCTGGACCCGGAGAGGACTGTCGGGCTCTGCCGAACTCGAAGGCGCGGGACCAAGGGCGCGTTCACACGTACGGAATGGATGCTCATTTCCACATGGGCAACACGGCATACCCCCCAGTGAGTCGGAGGGAGCGTTCACACATACCTACGCAATGGTCATGAGGAGGGGGAACTCAAGGAAGCTCATTTCGCAGCCCTAAGGCTGTTCGCAGCCCGTCAGGGGTGCGTTTTTCCCCCCTGAGACATTTCTGCCTCAATCAAATTTCAACATCCGCCCCCTGAGACATTTCAGCGGCAATCAAATTTCAACGTTGGGAGGATGGGCATTTTGAGGTTTTGGGGCCTTGCAAGGGCCAGACCCGCGTAGGACCGGTAGCTGCCCGTAGGAGGCCGAGGAGGCGGAGGAGGCCATTTTCGAAATTGAAACGGTGCAGGTGCACTTTTAGCGAATAGCAAAGCTCCTCGAATAGAAAACGTAAACATTGTATTCGAATATAACAAGTATCCTTTCTATTCGGATTTTGAAAAGAGAAATCTCGTGTATTCCGCCTGCCCTTGTGCTCCCCACCACTGACATGCTGCATGCTGCATCTCTCTCTCTCTCTCTCTCTCTCTCTCTCTCTCTCTCTCTCTCTCTCTCTCTCTCTCTCTCTCTCTCTCTCACACACACACACACACACA